ACTTCTCGAATTGGATTTTTTTATATTATTCATGTTAAATCAGAACACAAGTATTTATTAAACTAATCCAATAAAATTTAAAGAGTAGGTCGAAATTATAGAAAATAAAAAAGTAGTTTATCGTTATTATTATTTTACGTGTTCATTTGAAAAGTTTAAAAGCGATTATTCAATTTAAAATTGTAAGGATAAGACCCCAAATTTATTATTTTATGTGTTTTTGTATCTTTTATCTTTATTCCTATAGCGACAGGATAATTGACTATTGACAAAGTATTTCTTCACGTTTTTAATTTGGTTTCTTAATTGTTTTAAAAAAAAACAAATTTCACCAAAAAAAATATTTTACCTTTAAAAAAAAAACTACATAAACCACTAGAAATTTTAAATAAAAAAAAGTGAAATTTTTTTTTAGGCTGCCTTCTAGATTCCAGATTTTTTTTATTTGGAAAAAAAAAATTAGAAAAAGAATCATAGAAAATTTTCCTTTTTCGTCCATTTCTTAGCGATTTTATTTTATATTTGCAATTTAAAACCCAATCAAAATAATATAATAATACTGGGAATAACTTTAACATTTTAAAGAAAAATTATAATTTTTATAAAATTCCACTAAATTTGATGTTGTTCAAAAGGCACTAATCACATATTTGTATAGGCCTACAATATACATATACTTTTTTAAACTTATTTAAAATAGACAAAATGTATATTTATTAATTTAAATATTTTTTAATTAAATTTTTATTACTGTGATGTCTTTAAAAATACTCATTGACATTGATATCGACATAGACATTTTATCAATATTTAAAAAATAAAAAATAAAAATTGAGACATCGACATTTAAAACTTTACATCAAATTGACCTTTGTTTTTTTATCAAAAATTCTATTGATGATATAATAAAACAAAACATGACTATATAATTCAAGTCATATATTACTTGGAGGGAATATGAAATTAAATAATACTTAAATAATACTTAAATAATAATTAGTAAATTTATTAGACAAATCTTGGGAAATAAATACATTTCCAAGAATCTCCACAAAGATTCCCCATGTATGTACAAATACTATAAAAAATAAATAAATAAATAGATTGAATAATTGAATAATAAGTAGAAGGGTGTTTTGGGAAAAGAAATTACATAGAATTCCTAAAATTGTACGGACACTGTCCCTCTCTCTCTCTAGATGTAGAGAGAGAAAAAGAGTAATTAATTATAAACTGACAAACAAGTTGGCTGCTTAATTTGCTCTAATCCGACTGAGCGCACGCCATGTAAGACAACGCTTGTATTATTCTAATCCTCTCCCCCCACCGTGAAAATCCAAGAAAAAATTTTTTTAATATTATTTCGTCCTGTACTTTTAAAATCAAACGTCATTTTAAGATGATTTTTTGTAAGATTTGAGATCTGCGGTAAGCTAATCGATAGAGTTGTCTGGAGCAAGCTATGCAAAAGGACCTGCACGTAATAAACGATACTCATATTAGTCTGTACTTTCAAAATCAAACGTCGTTTTAAGATGATTTTTTTGTAAGATTTGAGATCTACGATGAGATAATCGATAGAGCTGTCTGGAGCAAGCTATGCAAAAAAATTTGCACGCAATAAACGATATTATTCATATTAGTCTGTACTTTCAAAATCAAACGTCGTTTTAAGATTATTTTTGTAAGATTTGAGATCTACGGTGAGCTAATCGATAGAATTGTCTGGAGCAAGCTATGCAAAGAGACATGCACGCAATAAACGATACTCATATTAGTTTGTACTTTCAAAATCAAACATCGTTTTAAGATGATTTTTGTAAGATTCGAGATCTGCGGTGAGCTAATCGATAGAGTTGTATGGAGCGATCTATGCAAAGAGACATGCACACAATGAACGATACTCATATGAGTCTAAAGCACAAACTTAATAGGACAATTCCAGATAGAATCATTTACCTATGAGTGTGAATGATGACGGATTTATAGAGGTGAGGGGAAGACCGTTTTGTTACGACCATTAGAGAGTTCGTTACTAGAGGTTGTTCTACTATGTAGGCTATATTTCATCCTCCAATATTGTACTTTCAACTTTTGTCTATTTTAATTCTGATATTCTTAAAATGTTTGAGCTAGTTTTAAGAAGTGATTGTTTTGATCCCTACCTCTTTTATCTGAATACTTTCCATTTTGTATATCTAATAAATTTATAGCTTTTAAAAAGTGTTGAGTAGATGATCTTGAGCTTATTTAACCTRTAAAATCGAAAGCTAAAAAATAACCTATTAGATTAGTCTAAGTCAAAAAAAGAAAAAACAAAAAACAAAAGAGAGAGAAAAAACAAAAACAAAGTAAAAATTCAATTGTAAACCTATCTCACAGCTTTCAACTTTAAAAAGTGTCTTTCTACTAATAAGTTTTTAAATGTTTTAAAAAATGTTGCATAGATTATAAACTTATTAAACACTTTTAATTCATTGATACAAGATTAAAAGTTTTGAGAATTATTTGATACTTTTAAAAAATTCAACGATCTATTAGACGCAAGATTTTAAATGTCGACATCGATAAAGATGTTGAGATCTCAATTTCATGAAAATATCGATAAAATATCGATGTCAATAGATATTTCTGAAAATGTTATAAAAATAAAATAATTTGTAAAAAAATATATAAATTAACAAATAAACATTTCACTATGAAATTTTTTATATTTTATCAATCTTTTTGTAATATTATAAAAATGTTGATTTAACCCCGTGTTGATATCAAACCCATGAATACATCAAAATATCGACATATGGACAGATATTTAATATTATGATTAGACACACGTTAATATATATGTATACATAAAGAAGAAAAAAACAATCTACATTATTCTAATTACTTTTATAAAAAAAATTTGCAGTTATATTTTATCTTTTAGATTTTTAGAGTTGTAGAAAAAATTGCAAACTTTTCCTACGAACTTGACCAGCAGGCAAGCCCATTTTTAACATAATTCAAGTTCTATCGAAGTTTACATTAAGGTAAGTATTGTAATTTTCACCTTGTCTTAAACTTCTATGAAGAATCTTAAAACATAATCTTAATTAGTAGGTTTCAAATGCTTCAACATCTTGCGTATTAATTTTTTCGCACTTACCTTTGTACATTTATTTGTTGGGGTTTGATTTTTATTGAAATTATTGAGTTTTGAGAATGGTAGAAATTATAATAATGATCCAAATTTAAACTTCATTTATTTGTTTGAAGTTCAGCGTTTAAACTCAAATTAATTAATTTTACAAAGTTTCTATTTTATTTTAATTGTTAAACAAATAAATTAGAATTATCATGCAAGTAAACAAATACGTGATATGAAATTTGACAAAATTATCACATTATTTTAAATTGGCCTCATTAATAAAGTCAACATTGTAATATTATACATCCACTTAAATTTATCGTAATTAGAAAAATAGTAAACGAGGGAGGGCACCAAAAACTTAAAATTTGTGGACCAAAATTAACCACATAAAAATATATGTTTTTCATTAAAAAAAAACAGATTAAAAAATAAAAACCATTAAAATACTTTCATAATTATTAAATCTTTTTGCGTACAAGTGGGGATTAAAAAATAGGAAAGGGAAAACGAATCAAAGTGCGTCCTCTTTTTATCCACCTTTTTTTTTTCTTTTAAACTATTTTCACTTTTTACTAAAATCATTAATTATATTTTTAATTACTAGATTTCTAACTTTTAACTTAGCTTGTACTTTGGTTTAGGCATGGCACATGGAGTACTCGTTCGAGAACACGTGTTTGGGTCTCAACTCGATTATATGAGAGATAAAGTGGAATTGAGATAACCATCTACTACTAACCCGAGACAATTTAACTAGGACCCTACTTAGGAACGAGACATATGCCCAGAAAAAAATCTACTAACATCGACTTATGGAAGATGGATGACATCAACAAGAAATACGCAAACATCAAATACGGACATCAAAGTGGCAACATTGTTTTTCCCAAAGCTCCCCTGTAAAAGATAAGTCTCAACCTATCTAAAAGTTATGCAATGTCTAAATAACCTAACTAAGCTTGACTCGACATAAGCTAAATCTAACATTTACCAACCAAAAAAAGTATTAAGTAACAAATATTAGAATATATGAAACTAATATTAAAATTTTTAAATAGTAGAGACTAAAATTGAAAAGATGACCTAAATATTAGGAACCAAAACATATAATTAACCTAATACATTAGGTTAAATTATAAGTTCAATATCTCAACTTTCAATGTCATATCTTATAACTCGTTAAACTTTAAGGATACTTAATAGATCGCTCAAACTCAATTTTGTATTTTATATATCGTTAACCTAGCTATTAGATCTGACAAAAAATTCAAAAACTTACTAAACACAAAATTAAAAGTCCAATATCAAATATTGATGATAATATCAGCAAAAGAAAGAACGTTCTCATGTACTTCTAGACATGCTGAGCTCCACATATTCTTGTACCGTCAAAAGGTGATCAATTCCATAAAAGATGAGATCAGTAAATGAAAATTAATTGAAATTGTCATGTTTCATTTTATGGTTAGGGACAAATTGGAAGCTAAGCAGTAAAAATTTTCAAGGGTAAAACACATATGTCTCTTATGATATCCACATTATGTGGAAGCATCTACGTAATTTCATAGAATCATTCGATCGGAATGGTACACGAAAATGTACATACATAAAAGAGCTAAAATGTAGAAGATGGTAACAAGAACGACGACTTGTAATTGAATATAATATATACAATTTTACAAAGAGACACGAGGGGGGCAAATGTGATTTTGGAGTTGGAGAATGGTAATATGAAGGTGGAGTAAGGTTATCAAAGCCCTTAGGCTTTGCCTCAACAAGCAAAAGTATCTATTTTAATTTATAATTTTTATTATAAAATTATAAATTATAAAGTCCTTTAATTTGTTATTGGTGTTTCTCTATTTCCTCCCTTCTCTCTCTCTCTTCGAAGTTCGTCCGCTCCTCTGACAAAAAACCGCTCCACTCCAATTCCGGCATATGTACCAATCAACCTCTTCCTCTTCATCTTCTCAGAAATCCATGGGCCCCGCCGGAGGAGGCGGCGGTGGAGGCCTTACTCGCTACGGCTCCGCCCCTGGCTCTCTCCTGACCTCGGCCGTGGACTCTGTAATCGGCGGAGGGCGCCATCCGGACTCCACCGCGTCCCTCCGTACGCCGCCGCCGTCGTTCGGCGGCCATTACTTCTCCTCCGCCGACTCCTCCACATCCAACGATCTCAAATCCTCCTCCTCCGGGGCCGCCGCCGCCGCTGCCCTGAATCGCTCCTACGGAATCCACGATTTAGCCCTAGGCGATTTCTCGATACCGAGAAATTTCAATAGCAATGGCGGCCAATCGTCTTCCTCCTCGCCGTTGGTTCGCCAGAGAAGCTCGCCGGCGGGATTTCTAGGCCACTTCGCCGTCGCCGATGGAAACGGTACTCTCTCTCTCTCTCTACTTTTGCACTCTCCGGCGCGTGGCTCTGCGCCCACATTTTCCCCAAAAACAGATGGCCGTTGACTAATGACTTGATTGGCTAATTTACGAAAATACACCCCTGAGTTTCGAAATTACCAAATTAGCCCTATTTAATTTTATATAGTTGTATAGAATAATTATTGTTTAGTTTGAATCTCGTCTGGATCACCGAACTTTTATAAAGAGTTGTCTTTTTTTTTTTTATTCTCAAACTTAATAAAAGAAATATCTATTTTATTTTCTAAAATTTAAAAAATATCATTCTAGGGATCGATATTAGGTGATAAAATAACTTGATTGATCAGAATCATAAATTCCTATAATTCGACGATTAAATTAGTCATTGTTTAAAGATCTAAAGATTAAAATTACTATTAATTAAGAATTTATGAGCTAAAATAGATATTTTAAAAGTTGAAAAAAAGGAGGGATTGAGATTTAGTTTTTAAAAATTCTATTTTTTTTTTTTGTGACCAATTAAAGTTAAATTTCATCTAATCAATATTCTTCGTTTTTGTTTTTTTTTAAATAAAAAGTTTATTATTTACTCAAAATCCAGGTCATAAGTCACGTGCAAGATGCTGTAAGCATTGCAATTGCATGATGATGTCGATTTAGTTAGTTATTTATTTATTTGGATCGGAAAGCCGACATGTCGTTTGGGTGGCCAAATCAAAATGTAGTATTAAAAAGTAGACATTGTTTTCGAGCATCTTTGATAATGGTGGAATGGAATCCACTACTATTGTTAATAGGGAAGTTATCCACTGCGGATGATTATACGAATAATTGAGAAATAACTTTTCAGAACTATGGTACTATGAACTCTTCCATAAATTAAAAAAGAAAAAAAAGAATATATTTGTATAGATCCAATCGAATAATCTAGTCACAGTTGTAAGTAGTTACTGGTTTCAATTTTGATTCATTTTGGTCGCAGTACTTTTAAATGGTTGAGTTTTAATCAACTACTTTCAATTTTGATTCGTTTTAGTTAATGTATTTTTAAAACGTTGTTTTAGCCCTATACTTTTAAAAAGTTATAATTTTAGTCTCTGTTTGCAAAATTTTAACCCAAGTTTCTGTACACAAGCGAAACATTTAATATAAAGTTATGACTATTGTGTTGAAATTATGATCAAAGATGAGATAAAAATAAAATGAAATGACTAAAGCTAACTTTTTAAAAGTTCAGGGGCTAAAACGAATGCTTCAAAATTACATGGAGTAAGATAGACAAAAGTTGAAGGTAAAAGGGCTATAATGGGCATTTTAAAAATACAGAAACTAAAATAAACAAAAGCGGGAAATATAGGAACCAAAATAATACTTTTAACCTATAAAATTTAAAGCTTCCCTTCTATTTGATTTGGTTGGTCTAGGCTTTTTTTTAGTAAACATACGAGGGTATGAATTCGAACTCATGACTGGAGATAGGTGTCTAACTTAAATTGGTATTGGTCAGTCTAAATAATTTGCTATTTTATAGTATGGTCAATTCAACTTTTTATAGTCATTGATGTTATTTTTCTCTTATTTTACAACACGTGGCGATAGAGATTTTAACTCAAGATCTTTTGATAGGATATAAATATCTTAATCCATTTAATTAGGTTCAAGTTGACTACTTTTTCTTTTTTGAATTTGACCAAACATTAAATTGAATTACAAATTAATTTTTTTTAGGAGACCCTAATTTTGTTTCATAAGCGTCACATAGCTTAAATATTGAAAATTAATTAATTGTTTTTTTTATCGACCAGAAACAATTCTGGTGGTTATATATTATTATTATTATTATGCGTGTTGAAATTGAAATATTTTTAACAAAAATAATTACTGTTATTCTTGTATTGGAATTATTATGGTCCACATTTGACCTACTAGAATAGCTCAATTTTGCTTGCGCCAAAGGATTAGGTTCCGTAGGCCCTTGTATAAATAAAATGAATTTACTCAAGGACAAAACTTCCTTAAGGAAGGTTCAGAAGGAGCTTGAAGCTTTTCGTGAATTAATGCGTGATCCAATAGTATATAAATAAGTAGATTTTTTAATTTTGTATAATTCCAATTTGATCAACTTATCTATATGTTGGACCGAATTCAGTTCAAAAGGAAAAATTTTTCCTTTACTAAGTAGTAATAATAATAATAACACTCAATAATGTTAATTTTATTATTCTTTTAATAGTTGGTTCAGAAAATGACTGTAAAATAAAAAGCTTTCATTTGTCGCTCCTTCCATCACACTCTCACTCATCACAGATGTATTTGTGGGTTGTTTGTTTTGGTTTGAGTGTAATGTTTGGAAATGAATGGTGTAAAAACACAGGATCAGGGTTTTCAGTGACAAGGGGAGGTGGGAACTATGGTTCACAAAATAATAACAATGGAGTTTGCAGGCTTAAGTCTCAGCTGAGCTTCAGTGGGCAGGATTCTCTGTCTCAGATATCAGAAATGAGTGAGAGTGTGGTGGAGGGAGTCAACTCGAGCAATGCCAATGCCAATATCGCCATCACCCATTCCTTCGGAATCGACTCTTGGGACAGCGCCAACTCCAACTCCATTGTTTTCACTGCCCCTCACCCCAAACGCCCCCACCATTCTGATTCCGACTTCTTCAATTGCCTCGAGTCTCAGGTACCCTTCTTTCTTCGCCTCTATATTCTCACAATGGTATGATATTGTCTTTTACTGTGACCCTAAAATACCTGGTATCAATGGAAGCATACGTTATCCTTGCTCTGGGAGAAGGTTACGAACTAGACTCTTCTAAGAGGTTTTAGAGTTTGGTAAAAGTTATTATATATTAATCCCACAACTTTACTTATGGTTTCACTTTGTCCCGTACCAATAAAAATGTTGTCTTACTCTAGCCAACGTGAGACTATGTTTGCATCATGAACTCTTACAAATCGAGACCCTTCTTTGTACTTTTACGATTGAGGCTCCAATCGGCATTGATTTTGAAGAGGTTCGAAGTTATTACAGAAGAATTTGAACCCATTTTAGTGTTTGATGGAAGTGATTATATTTTAATTTTCAGTTTAGCATGCCACAGACAAGCCTAGAAATGGCAACTGTGGAGAGGCTGCTCCAAATTCCAGAGGACTCTGTTCCTTGTAAGATCCGAGCCAAGCGTGGCTGTGCCACTCATCCTCGCAGCATTGCTGAAAGGGTTAGATCGTTTAGTTTTTAGTTTTCTGGTTTGAATTTTATTCCCGTCCTTAATTTCGATGAATTTCGAGTATTATGGTTATAATTACGTCTCTGATACATTGATTAGTATATCGATCTTACTCTCAAATTTGCTCAGTAGTTAAAGTTCGGAGGTTTAATCCTCTACCCGACATTTGTTGTAGTTAAAAAAAGTTAATTAATTATTTGTTAAACTACACACAGGAGAGAAGAACTAGAATCAGTGGAAAATTGAAGAAACTTCAAGAGCTTGTCCCCAACATGGATAAGGTACACTACATTTTCATTTCTCATTCTTATTTAATTTTTAATCGATTTTTATTTAGGAAAAAAGATAGCTTTTAAAATTACCGATAGATTTTATTTTATTTTATTTTATTCAACAAGTGGGGTGAGAGGATTTGAACTCATAAACTATTAATTAAAGATAGATGTCAATAACATGAGTATTGATAGTATTGTTTAAAAATTATTTATTTTTAAAATAATTTTTATTAAAATTTGCAAGTTTGGCTCTGATGTGTTCAATATACTCTTAAGCTTTCAATTTACATGAATTTATTAAATAAAAATTTGTAAAATTAGCAAACACTTTTTCAATTTTGTAAAAGTAGTAAAATTTAGAAGCTCAACCCACGGAGAAGAAAGTGAAAGTTCAATATATTGTTAATGAAAATAAGAATTTAAATTAGATAAAAACATTTCCAAATATCAAATAAGTAAAAAAAAAACTCTATTAAATACAAATTAAAAGTTTAGGAACTCGAAAAAAAAAATTAAATATTTTTAAGGCTGAGAGACTTGAGACACCATCCTTAAAATTCAGGATTAAACTCTTAATTTAACCAATAATTTTCTATTTTCTAGAATACAATTTTGTATAAATTGTGTCTTTGAAATAACAGTTTTTTTAAGTACTTTTTTTTTTTCCTTTTCTCATATTGATTTATTGTTTAAAAAATAAATAAAATTGTTATTTCTTAAAAAAAAATGCAGCAAACAAGCTATGCAGACATGCTGGATTTGGCAGTGCAGCACATCAAGGGCCTTCAAAATCAGATTCAGGTATTCTACACATTTTACCAAATAAATTATAAGATATTAAGGGCTTATTTATTTATTTATTATTTTTTTAATGCAATTTGGAAGTTGTTTCTCGTTTTTGGATTTACTGAATTAAATGGATTTGATATCTATTTGATAGACTTGTTTTTTTAAGATGAAACATTAAATTTCTAAATTTTATTAATTTGACATGTTACTAGATGAGAGATTTTATATTCAAATCCTTAAAATATCATTTCTTTCTCATTTCAAAATTAATATCTCAACTCATAGGTAAAAGAAAATATTACTTAAAAAATAATTAAAAGATTTAAATTTGTATTTCTTAGAGTTTTAAATTGTTTAATACGATTTAACATGGTATCAAAATGTAACGAGAGCATTTCTTTTGCACTGATCTATATATGGATCGAGCCTCGTAAATCAAAATTAATATCTTTCCACCATGGTGATTTTTTAACACTTAGTTTTTTTTTTCCCTCTCTTTCCAGAAGCTTAACAAAGAAGTTGAAAATTGTAGCTGTGGATGCAAAGGATCCTCATAACATATGGAATTTTGGGAGTTGGAGAATGATACACATCAGAATTTTGCCTTTAATTTCCTACTAAATTTGTTCTTTCAACTAACCCTCAAAAAAATTCAAAAAATTAAAATTAAAATTAAAAGGAAGAACAAAGAAATTAAAACCACAGGGCAAGTGTACATAAAAGAATTAGCTCTTCTCTAATTAATTCCCAAATTTCATTAGAATAATAAACTTATTCTTCTTCTTATTATTATTTTTTTCATGTAAAATAATTTTGAATATTTGTTTCTGGTTCCCCACTATCCTTGTTTCTTTGCTTTCTAATGTTAGAGAAACCCATATCTTTGACTCTCTTTTTTGTTAAATTTACATTCAATGTTGTCCATTTAGCTCATAGTTTTAGGTAATTTTTTGGGTTTATGAAAGTTGGGGTTTGAAAATTTTAATTTGTTAGATCTGTAATTAATGCAATAATTCGATAATCGCCTTATTGAGATAGATGTAAATTAAGAAAATTCAAAGTTATGTGTACAATTCTAATTAATGTCAAATAGATTTATAGATTATTAAATCAACTAGACTATGGTCTAAATAGTTTTTTCTTATTCTTTTGTTTATGTTTTATTCTTTTTTGGAAAAAAAATTCATTCGTATCCCCATAACTCAAGTTGTATAACTCTCACCCAAAGGAAAACAACCCTTAAACTTAAGCATTTCATCTTTTTTTACCAGTCTCCTTTAGAATCTATTTCAAATCTTCGATTCTTCGTTCATTTAGTTATTGAGACAATTAAAAAATGTTTTTAGATTTTTTTTTCTTTCCCTCTGTTTTCCATTAACACATTCTTTCGTTTTGTTTTCGTTCTCTTTTTTCATTCTTCTCTCTTCCTCTCTACTGCAAGTTTTTTTCCTCTCATTCTCCCTGAAATTTTCTCAAGGTTTCTCTTTTCTTTCTCCCTTTTTTTCCCTAATTACTATTTTACTCTTTCTTCTTTATCCACCACAAAAAGCAAACTATTCTACAATTCCTTTTTTACTCACCACAAAAAAAAAATTTAATTACTATAAAAAACCATAAATCTCTCGACCTTTTTTTTTTAAAAGAAAAAAACAAAGCAGCTTCTCCATGATTTCGGTGACCTTTAGCAATCGCCGACACGTGTGCAGTATGGGGTGGTAGATAGAGGGAGAGAGTTGAGCAAGAGAGATAGAGTTGAGAGAGAGAGAGTTTGAATTCCCGTATCTTACCTTGAGAAAAAAAAAATTTCATCTCATATGCCATTATTTTAAATTTTTTATTTGATAGTATCTAAAAAATAGGATTTTTACCGAGATTGTTTTTCAATATATCTAAAAATAGAGAGAGATTTTTTTCTTTTTTCAATAGTATAGTAGAGAGGGGGTGATTGAGAAAGACATTTAATTGATAATTAATTTATTTATTTCAAATGATTTAATTTCTTAAAATCTATTTATAATATGAATAAATTTCTTAAATTATTGAATTAATTTCGAATGAAGGTTCGATTCAATATCATTAAACAAATTTAAGGGGAATAATTTCAAATGTTTTGAAATAAAATATTGTTTATCTACAAAATAATAATAAGATGCAATATCAAATCGATCAAAACTAAATAAATAAACTTCGAAACAGTTTGGTCAAATTCAAATTTAAAATCATTAACAAATAATTTAGAGATTAAAGATTTTTTAATTAAAAAATTTAAAAATTGAAATGGGTAGAAACAAAATCTCAAAATCTTCTCCATCATAATTTGAGTCATTTGGTATTCAAATTTAAAATTTAATCCAAATTTTAAATCTCTCCTCAATCTCCTTAAATATCATTTCCTCAATCTCTTTAAATATCATTTAATCACTCATAGTTTTAATTATGATTGGATTTGAAATTTAAAATTTAATTCAATTTTTAAGAGAAAAAAATCTTGAGTGTACAATCTCAAGTATCTAATTACAAAAAATAAATATTGGGGAGAGAGAGAGTGAGTAGAGAGAGAACACGTGAGCGTGATAAATTTGAGAGAAAACGAAAACGAGAAGGGGAAAGTAAGAACAAGAGAGAAAAATGGGAGGAGAGAGGAGAAGAGATGGAAGAGATGGAAGAGGTGTAGTGAAAGTCATTTAGTATCGGACGTTCACGGATTGGGTTTGATCAGACAAGATTTTTAGACCAACTCGAAAATTCGAGATGAATGGACCAACTCGAAAATTCGGGTCGGTGCATTCATCGACCGATGAAACCGAAATGCATCGTCAACCCAACCCAACCCTGTATTTTCGGGTTAGGTCGGATCGGGTCATCGGGTTTCAGTTCTATCTTTATTTTTTTCTCTTTTCTTTTATTCTGAGAAATGAGATCCGGGTTGGGTTAGGAAGAATGGTGACGACGGCGAACGAGGAGGTGAAACGGCAACAACAAATCTAGCAGTGGACGACAGCAAACGACGAAGAACAGATCTGGTGTGGACAGCAGCGATTGGTGACCAGATCCGGCACGGATAGCAGCGGACAACGACGAATAACGACCGATCTGGTGCGAATAGCGGCGAACAGTGACAAAAAATAGTAGATGCATCAGATTTGGCAGCGGAAGAACGGTGACAACAAATAGGGTTTGCTTCGTGGGAGAGTTGAGGATGGGAAATCAAAAGAGGGAGATGATGAGAGAAGGGAGAGGGGGATGAGAAAAAGGAGAGGGAGAAAGAGAAGAGAGGGAGAAAGGAGAGGCAGGGGGAGGAAAACAAAAGCGGCGGTTGGGGTTTACTTTGTTTATAATATATATATAATATTTTTACTTTAATGTTCGGTTCGGTTCGATTCGGGTTGAACCGACTAAAATTTTACTTAACCCGTAAATCGAACCGAAATTTCGGTTCTAAAAAAAAATCAACCGAACCTTGGGTTGTTCAGCTTATCATGTTCTTTGAACACCCCTATCTAAGAAAAATGGTTATTCGACCCAACAAAATGAAAATAAGAGTGAGAAATCTAAAATATTAATGGAAGGACGATGTCATTTGATATCGGGCGACGATGTCAGCCAAAAAATTAGAAGATGAATTTTGAAAAAGTGGGTAAAAATGAATACATTTGGAAAAATGGCTATTCAGCCCAATTTCTCCCTCTCTTCCTCTTCTCTCTCTGGTTTGGATGTTTGATTTTCATTTCAGTTTGTTAGGTCAAGCATTTATTTGCACTCTCCCGAGTGATTCCGTGTGCCATCTCTGAGTTCATCAATCGGGTAAACCTTTTTTCCTGCTTTTTCTTTTTCATTCAGATCCATTTCTGTGCTTTATGCTTGTGGGTGATTAGTTTTTGGTGGGAAATGGGAACTGGGAAGTATTTACTATCATCGAGGGTTCGATTGTTTGTGATGTTACTTCTTTTTTCCTTTTCTAATTTGAGCTGCTACCGTCTTTTTGAGGATGGGTATTCTGTTTGGTGGTGTTTTAGGATCTCTTTGCGGCTGTTCTGTCAAATTAGGTTCAATTTTGGGTGGAAATTCGTGTGTTGGGACTCGAGAGAGAGTAATTTGGAAGGGTGGTCTGGTGGTTCTTCCTGGAAAGCAAGAAGTGAGAATCAATCCAAATGTGTTGGTCCATTTTCCTGAAAACTATCTCATTTTAATCTCTTCTAGTTGCTGCGCATTTCAGTCCTTTTCTATGTAGGATCTGAAAGTTTTTTTAGTTCCGCTCTGTTTTGCCAATTTATCCAAAGCTTAACGCTTTCTATACGGGAGGCAGTTTTTGTATGCAGTTTAGTAGATTTATCAATTGTTTTATGTAGCAGCTGAGCTTTTGATCTATTATGATCACTATAACCTTCTTTTGATAAGTGAGAACTTCCATTGATTACAAACTAAGGGATGAAATGAAAATAGAAAAGGAACGAAAAACCCCACATTAATGAAGCCAAACTAATAACTATGCTTTTACTCTCTCAATGACCTTATTACAAGTTGGGAAGCTCTCTTGTTTGTTTGTTGTTTTTTTATTTCTTTCATTTTCCCCTTCTCTTGTGTGTTTGTGAAAACTGAAGAGGTGGGTAGGATTTTGATATTTGCTATAGGCTAAAAGTAAAACTACACTAGTTTTCTCACACTGGTGGGTGAAAGTACTAGACACTAAGAAACAATTCAATTTAATAGATTAGTTTGGTATTCCAACAAAATTTAGGAGCTTATGGAGAAAATTGTAACACTATCCAACCAAACACAGACAAGTTCAATGAGAGAAAATTCTAGTAACCAACCGCCCTTGATATTCCTACCAAGGAAAATAGTAACCACCCTTGAGATCATTAACAACGTCATATGGAATAGGAATATTAGTCTCCAATGTTGCACCTTTCACCATAAACCCTGGCTTGCCTTTTGGTTGCTTCTTAGTACTAAGATGACTTCATCTCTTGCCTTAGCCTCAGCCTTTAGTTGTCACGTTTCTCGTTCTACTTCCTCAAAAGAAGCCGTTTGATGCATCTTGAAGTCTTCATATCAAGAGTTTGCCTTAGCCTCGACCTATTTTTTTGTTCGTATATCAAAAGTTTGGGAAATATACATTCCTTGCTTTATATTAGCATGGTTTTTGGCTGGCCGTGCTTCCTTTAGCCTGGGTTTGCCTCCGTGACTCTAATTTTATGATCAATCTCTATCCCTTATCAACTTAAATAAAACCATTGTCATTGTTGAATGCGTAACGGCAATAGTTCATATTGACCATAATTGACTTTGTTACTCCAATTTATCTATAGTTCAAAGACATGATCAGGTTGGATTTAACTCGGTCATTTGTAGAGATGTCATGGTTCCTCTCTTGAGATGAGAGAATAGAAGGCAAAACTTATTTTTTATTTTCACGTTTAAGGTTCTTAATCTGGTCATTTCCACCATCTCCTAGATTTCTGTAATCTCTCAATTGATCTCGTGTTCATTGTTTTTCCCTCAATGTTCAGTCAATTGTAAGGAGGTTGTGCTGTCTTGGGTGTGGATGTCTTGTGTTGTTTAGGGGACATTTGGTTGTTTTACATTGTTAGATGATCGAGGGTTTTTCTTATTAGAAAAAAGATAAACGAGGGTTTTGCACACAGGATAGATTATACATTTATGATTGTTATGCTTATTTTATTTTTTCATGGCTACATGAATAATTTAATGAGTGACTCTGAAATATTTTGTATGTGCTTTCCCAACATGAAAGATAAATTCAATATAATAGTGTATTTGAT